GACAGTTTGAATCCTAAGACTATCACAGCTACGGTGACAGGAATGCTCCTTCCTCACCCTTCATAAAGGAAAACATTTCTCTGTCCTATGGCTTAGCACCTGGAAGACAGATGCACGTGTTCAATGTTGGAGCGATGTTTTTGTGTGCTGTGTATTCTAAGGCTGATTTCTGTATCCAGAGAGATGAGTACAGGGTGGACGTTGACTTTGGCATTGTCATTTTAATGAAGCATCTCCTGTCTCAATGTTGTGTAAACACTGTTCTTCATAATCTTCTGTTTGGTTTTAATAAAACCTGGATGGCCAATAAGCTGAGGAGGCAGGACTTCAGGGACAAGGGGGGGGGGGGCAAGTCACCAAAACACAAAAAGAGAAAGCGCAGCCAGAGTGAGACTATGCTGCAGGTAACAGGCCACGGGCCTGGAAGTAGACTCAGAGCACGATTAACCAGGTCAGCTTAGACTGAGCTAACTGAGAATCTGCCTGCTATAGTGACTGAAGCTTTTAACAAATACAGAAGTCCTTGTGTCATTATTCAGGGTTAGGCTGGGCATAGAAAGACTTTACTTTTACAATTCTAGGCTTACTTAACCTCTCAGTAACGTGAGGAAAATAAGCTGCTCTTGATCTTTCAAAAGTAGTTTCCAAGGAATGCCCACATTGAAGGCCTATAGAGTGTATGGAGGCCATTCGTTGACACATTATGATGGCAGGAGGTCCCTTTTTTCTGCCTGAAACCCTGTCCTGGCCAGGGTAGTTTGGGGAAGCTAGGACTTCTGTTCTCAGCTGAGATTTGGGATAAAGTCGATAATTATACTCTCCTGCAGGTGGCGCCACAATGTAGGTTTTCAAGCAGCCTTAGCCCAGAGGTTTTTATCCTGAGCACAGAGCAAGGACCCAGCTATGGGACTGCTCTTGTGGGAAAGATGTCTCTGCAGCAGCAGGAGACCCCTGGCAATTTGTTTAATAAATAAATTCTTTATTTATAAATAAATAATAAATGCATGATTAATTAATTAATTTATTTCATTGGTTTTATCAATGAAAATTGCATCACTGTTCCTAAGTTAATGAAATGATGGTAGCCAAGCGAAGGGGAAGTGGGAGTCTTCTCTCTCTCCTTAAACCTGGCCCTTTTATTCAGCCATGAGAAATGAGCCAGTATGTTTCTCCCCAAATCTGGCAAAGAAGCACAGCCAGAATCTCACAGAAATGGCTTCTTTAGAAAATAGGGCTCTATGAAACAATATGCCATTTAACTTCTCCCTCTTGTGGCCATGGGACCAGATGCTGACCTACCCAGTTCTACCACCAGGCTGGGGATACAGTTGGTGACTCACAGACCCATTGTCAGCAGAGAACAGCTAGCGTGTCCAGTGTGTGTCTCCTTTTACCCCTCATCAGCTGGCGGGGGTGGTGGAGGTTGAGGGCTAGAGGGCTTGTGGAAAGTGCAGAAGAATGATCTGGACCACTGCCTTTTCCAGGTTAGTGATTCATGAGGAAAAGTCAGGAAAGCAAAAGGCCTGCTCCCTGAGTTGTACCACTGGAGAAAAAGATACTTACCCATGACAGGGAGTACAGATTCTTTTCACGTGCATTGCGTTAGAGTTTCAAATCATGCTCACATCAGGGGTTGTATTTCTTTTGAATGCCATTGCAACCAGAAGGCATAAATGGCAGGAGAGAGGGAGAATGACACAGAGAGCACATGACCCGTGCAGAGTGACATGATGGTCAATAGTAGAGTCAAGGATAAGACAGTCTTCCTTACCCATCCCCCATCCCATCCTAGATTTGAAGGAGCTTTCAATAGGCCATCAGGTCTCTTGCTGTGGCTAGTTTGACCCTTTCTGCTATTCTTACAATGGTATGAATCGGTAACTGTTTCCAGCCTGCCTTCCTCCTGTGGTATTCAATAGAAGTCAGAAAAGAGGAAGTCAGTGTGAGGGAAGGTCCTTTTAAGGACAGGAGGACTGGCAGGTGCTGCACCTGCTCTTTGTTGGTTCAGCTTTCTGTACATTCTTTCCCTGTCATTGGGCTCTGTCATTACTCTTCAGGCACACACATGTTCATTCCTCTGAATGGAAACAAATGACACCACACATGAGGCAGGAGATAAAGAACAATAAATACAAGTTGTTTGCTACCTCTGAAAAAATTGCTGACTTCTTGTGCAGCCATCAGTTCTCTCTCTCTCTCTCTCTCTCTCTCTCTCTCCCTCTCTCACTACAAGGGGTAGAAAAGACAACCAGGTGGTATTAAAAACACTTGCTGGGCCGATTGGCTGAGAAGGGCACAGAGTTTATCCTCACTTCCTCTCCCTTTCAGCATTTTTACCGAAGTCCCCCATAGCCAAGTGACAACCAGCTTTGAAAAGCTCCCTTGTATACCTTTAGTGAAGCATAGTATTTAAGTAGCCTGTTAAGGTTTTCTGTAGGACTTTCTTGGCTTCTAGGGCGAAACCATTCTGATGGTGCCGTGTGTCAATTTCTGAGGAGACTCTTGCAAGTGGGTCTAGACCCAGGTGAGGCAAGCCTCAAGCAGACATTCAAGGACAGCTTTCTTTGATTTTTGCATGTCTGGTGTCTCTGAGACCTCATGTTAGACAGACGCTTCGCCCCAGGGCTTCCTCTGGTCTGGAAGGATGTCAAAGCAGCAGCAACATGGAATTATTGTTATGTGTTTCTCTGGGCTTCTGAAACTAACTTGATATTGTGTGCTTTATCTCGAGTCTGGGATCCAGAGTTTGAGAGAAGAGAGGAGCCAGATCAATGTATTAGTGAGAGCTAATAAGATAACCCTTGCTGTTTTCTGGGCCATGCAATGCTCGGCGGACAACCCGAGCTTAACAGGGCTCCATGCTGTCTCCTGGAACAGTCTTTCACTGGCTCATGCTTGAGTCATTGCCTCCTTCTCGTGAGAACAGTTTCAATAAGGTGCTGTGTGGGTAAGCCCAGCCCGGCCCACATGTGCTACCTGCCTGGGGGCTTGTATAACTTGTCATCTCACAACTCATTTCAAAGTCTACCCAGTTTATAACTTTGATTTCTGTGAAAATATAACCCTTATAGGAAGGTGTAGGAGTTTATACTGCTGTCAATCATTTCCTAATAAGCAGGTTCTGAGTGGTTTGGATGGGAGGGACAGTTATGTGCAGGAAGTTACTGAGGCTGAGGAAAGTTAAGTTGAAGAAATGGAATCAGCTAGTGGGTTGGGAGCCCCAAACCGTAGTCTTCTTGAGAGGGCTTTCTCTGATGAGTGGCTAGTCTTACTGAACATGGCTGACAATGCCATTTCCTTGAAACTATGGTAGAAGGGAGCATACAGCGTTGGGTGGATAAATAAATGGGTTCCCTTTATCATTTTATTTTATATTTGATGGTTGGGCTCATTGATGGGGGGTGGTCTTTGCAGAGATAACCTGCCTACTTCCTGTCCTTACGATTTACTGTCTGCCAGATGCTGTTTCAACTTAAGCAACCTCAGGATTTCTTCCTTCCGGTTTCCGAAACTTCTCTAATATTGGCAACGTCTAGGTTATGTTTGGGATATGATCCAGGACCTAGGGCTTCAGACACAGAGAAGCAGCAAGGTCAGCCTTTGGAAGTATCAGATTACCCAGCAATCTCTGGGGCATTGGCCTTCTAGGACTAGAAGCCTTGGGCTTGGGTATCTCTAGTGCACGGTGTAGGTTACCTTAGTTGGTGGAGGACGGGGCTGGTCGGAGATTCTAGGTTGGGAATGGGTTATGTTTGCCCGGTGTCTGTTAGGAACACCCAGAAGTGCCCCTGACTGCTGTGCCCACATGCCTGCTTGGTAGTATGCCCCAATCCAAGTGCACTTGGTGCCAGCGTATACGCATCACTCTGCCCTGTGTCGCCACCGCCAGGCTGGCTCGAGGAGGCCGCGAAGACCCCCCGGGGGGCGGGGGTTGTCTGCAAATGTCCACTTCGGAGTGAGCGGGCAAGCCAGCAGCGGCAGCGTGCGGGGAAGCGCCCCCTGCCCCCTCTGCCGGCCGCTCTCCCTCGGTCTAGATGTCAGCCTGGAGCGCGGAGCTAGCGAGCGAGCCAGAGAGGGAGCGGCGGCGGCGGCGGCGGCAGCGGCGGTGGCGGCGGCCGGCCGCGGGCGGCGGGGAGGGGAGGAGGAGAGGAGAGGGAGGGAGGAAGGGAAGAAGGGAGGGAGAGAGGGAGGAGAGGAGGACCCAGAGAGCGCCAGGCAGCTGGAGTTTTTGCAGCGCTTGGCCGGGCTTCAATGCACAGCAGCAGCGAGCCGCGGCGGCAGCAGGCAGCCCGGGAGCTCCGGCGGCGGCAGAGCCAGCGGCGGCTCCGCTCCCTGCCCCCTGCAAACTTTGCGAGCAGCCCGCCCGGGGGGCCGGGGCGCACCCAGGAGGCTCGGCTCGGACCCGGGCTGCGTTCTTGGCCGCTGCAGCGCCAGCCGCCGCCGTCGCTGCTGCCACCGCAGCTCCGCGCCTCCCCGGGGAGCAGGCGGCAGCTCCCGCGGCCCCCCAGCCCCGGCCCCTGGGCACTGCCCGGCTAGTCCCTGGGCAAGGGTAGGGGCGACAGCGGCGCAGCCAGCCCAGGGCTGCCAGAGGGTGGCCGTCACTGCCCACGGAGGCGCGCAGAGACTCGGAGAGCGCTCCCCGGCGGGTCCCCAACGCACTCGCCGCCGCGCCCGGGCAGCGGCCCGACCCGGCTAGCATGGGCGGCGCGGAGTGACGCCGCCGTGCCCGCTTGGCATCAAGGACATTCAGCCCGCGGGGGTGGGGACGAAGGGGGGCAACCCCGCGTCGCCGCCGCAGCCCCCGAGAGCCACCACTATCGCTGCTCGGGCTCCGGGGCTGGGTGGAGGAAAGGGGTACTTGGAATCCATCTACGTTTTCTGACCTTTTTGTTGGACATTACGCCCACCTTGGACGCTGCAAGAGGAGCTGTCAAGCCCCGCGGGCTCTGGTTTGGCCCCCTCCGTTTTCCTCTGCTGCTCGTGGCTTCCCCGTGCCTCGGTGGAGTATTTGCGTTCGGGGCTGGGGCTGGAGGAGGCAGCCACACGCGCGCACACGCACACGCTCAGAGGAGGGCGAGAGGCAGCGGTACAGGCACCATCTGCAGTGTCAATGCGGCGCTGGGGCTGAAGGAGGGACACCGCGCTTCCAGGTAAGGAGCCGCCGGCTGCGCGCAGGGCCGGAGGGGCAGATCGGGCGGCGGTGCCGAGTCCGGTCCGGAGTCCTCGCCTTCTCCGAGCCAGCCACACCACACACACACACACACACACACACACACACACACACACACACACACATACACGTACACACACAGGAACACACACGTACACACACGCGTGCGCGCACACACACAGACACTCACACACATGCACACACGCACACACCGCGCTCACGCACCTGCCTACGTCCCTCCTGGACACCGCGTAGGTGCATCGCAGCCGGAGCAGGGATTTCCCGTGTTCTTCTCTGCTCCGGACCTAGACTTCTCTTTCCCAGGACTTTCAGGGTGGGATTCTGTAAATGATTGGCTCTCCTATCCATCCTGGTAGGGTGAGGGAGCGATTTTGCTGTTTCTAGCTCCTTTCATTTCCTAACCGGTTTTTACTAAACAGGAGAAGTCATGGGGGGTCTTAGGAGACCCGCCCAGTGCAGTTCGCCCCTTGGACACTCAGAGAATTTTTTTTTTGAAATAGGAGAAAGACAGACAGACATTTAAAGGGCAGAGATCTGGAGATCGTGGTAACTGGGCGCCTGGGAGGAGGCCACATAGGCAACCGGGGCCGCAGTTCTGTAGGGCGGCGCATGTGGAACAGACTCTGCGTTTCCCCAGGAAAGGCAGCACACACGCCTTTGAACCGCGGCACTGCTTCCCGGGAATGTGCCGGGATCTCAGGCAGGGAGGAGCTTTAACATCAAAGCCAGAAGAGTGTTCCTTGTGTAGGGAGGGTGCCGCAGTCCTTTAAGGAGGATCAAACCTTATTCGCTTCGCCAGTCTCTGGGAGACAGCAAGCAGACAGGGCTTGAGGGACACATGTTTGCAGCCAGCCCCTCACTTCCTCGTCCTTCTCCGTGCATGGGAAGAGGTTTCCCCTGTGGCTTTAGCTAACACTTGTCACATGTCTTCCGAGGTGTGTGTCCGAGAACAGGAACTAGGAGGGAGAGCAGAGATAGATGGAGACTGGCAGGGGGAAAGGATTGTGAACACGGTGGCATACTCACCCTATATGGTATTGGGTGTACACTAGTAGTAGTGTACCCCAGAGACTAGCCCTTCTGAGTGCAGACTTGCTCCTCAGAAGCCAATGGTTCAAGTTGTACACCCTCTGCCCCCACAGCCCCAGGTTTAGAAGCTGTTCATATTGAAACTTTTCCTAGAATGGATGGGGAGGGGGGTGGAGTTTCAAAGGGCTTTTTTATGGCTCCCCTATTAGAGTCTAAGAAAGACTTCTTTCAGGAATCAGTTATTGCAGAGAGAAGAATAGAAGATTCAAATAAATCATTATTTCAGGCTTGAATAGATATATAACGAGTTTCTATGTTTCTATTGCTGTCTCTTTGTGGTGTATTGGGGGGGGGCATCCTGGCAAATATGGGAATTGCTTCTGCCCTCCTTAAAAGAGGCTAGAATATCCCGCCCCCCAAGGTGTCTGGTTAGGCTTGGGTAGAAGGCAGATGCCCTAAGAGGGAAGCTATTCCTGCTGTGTGGTGGAAGCTGCCCTTTGATTGATTGAAGAAGGTGTAAGGAAGAAAGGAAAGCTGCTCACAATGGGGAGAGGCTAGATCAGGAAGAAGCACTATTTTCTCTTTAGGAATGGTGGGTGTGTACATATCCGGCTGTACATATGCTTTAGAGCCTTGCCCAGCGCAGCCAGCTTATCCAAGCACGGGTGACAGGCTGTCCACTTCTGACTTATGGGCTGTGACAAACATTGGCACATTTTGGCATGCACACGCTTGGAGTGCATGGACAGGACGATCCCTATATGCAGGCATATGGCTTGGCACATGGCTTGTAGCGAACAGTGACCTACAGTGACAATGAGTACCTCTCAGAGGAGGAGCATTCCCTCACAGGACCTTCGAGGGCTGGAGGCTGAGCACAGATCTCTCCCAACAGACTTCTGTTCCTTTCTTTGCCTCCCTCTTCCCTTTCTCAGGTATTTGCAGCCTCAGGACCTGTCATTTTAATGCAAAGTCAACTGTCATTATGGTGGTTATAAGCACCAGAACTCAGAAGAATCTGCACACTTTCTGCACTTGCCATTGGTTTCTAGGAAAAGATAGACAGTAATTAACATTCCCCCCCCCCAGCTTTTTGCCCAGCCTTGGAGTATACCACAATATCCTTGCTCTACCATTCTTCTGTGAGCTTTAAGCTCTCTCTTCTGCACGGGGAGGCACACAGTTGCATGATTTAGAGAAGGACCAGACACAATGCTTCTTTTTGATCAACCTTACTGAGGCTGGAGGTTGTTCTGAAAGCACTCCTGTGAATACCAGGCATGGGTCAGCCATGATCTGATCTGCTCCCTCACTAAATCCCAGATTGCCCCTCAACCTCTGATAACATTTCAGGGAGGAATTTTGCTAATAGGCAGCCAATTTGCCCCGGTCGCTCTCCTTCTCTGTCTTATTCTCCAGCTTCAGCTCTGCTCCCTACAGACAGGCAAATCTGCATAGCAGAATCTGCCTACACTTGGCCTGCAGATCCTTTTAATCATGAGGAGGGATGCTGGGAATTAAGTGGGGGTTTCCTAGGGTGGTAACATTCCTACCATGGGGAGAGAGCTCAGGGGGTTGGGTAAGTAACTGCTCTGAGCTTCTAGGTATTACCAGGCTTTGATGGAAAGAAATTAGAGCAAGCATCTCTCCTCCCAGCCAGCTAGGGGGCATTTCTTAGCAGCTTCAGCCAGTCTTACCGAGAAGGCACTGTACAGACAATGCACATTGGAGACCTGTTGGAGTGGCTCTCTGACTGGTTGTGATGGGGTGGCGGCAATACTGTGAACCTACCACGATGCAGTCTTGCTTTTGATTACTCTACACCCAAGGTGTCACCCTCCCTTCTCCCCGATGGGAAACCAGTTCAGACCCTGGGCAATTAATTGTGCAGGGTTCATTTCTTTCCCTTGACACCCCCTTTTCTCCTTCTTCACAGCTCCGCCCCTCCCTCCTCCCACACTAGCACTCGTGAATCCACCTCCCAGCTTTGTGCTTGTATCCACCGGCCCAGGCCCATTCGCCCTCAAATTTGCGGCACTCCTAGAAATCAATATAACATGAATTTAACGACAGCTGGATGATTAAGTGTTATTTATATTTAAGAGTGGCATTTAAAAAAGACGTTGTGCTAATAAATCACAATAAAGGGCTGTTTGGGAGATGCACATGATTAGGGTAATTGCCCTGGAGGCTCCACTGAGTAATTCTTGGTCCACACAGAGCCCTGCAGACACTGTCCCTTTAAAGGTTGGTCCTGATCCCCCTCTCCCTGACTTACTCTAGGCCTTCCTCCTGTCCTTGCTTCCCAGGCTATAGCCATTCTAGTTATGACAAGAAGGTGGAGCCAGCAGGGCGACAGGAGCAGGAAAGAGGTGAGTCTTAAAAGGGCAGGCAAGCAGAGTCCTTGTTCCTCACAGGCCTGTTCCAGAAAGAGGAGGCTCCTTTTCCACTTGCTGTGAAGAAGAATAGCTTCTAGAAGTCCTGAGTGAGGAGCCCTGTCCAAAGATCACAAGGCACCAGCATCCCCAGGGAAGCAGCTGTGAGAACATAGTATTGGTTTTAGCCCTTATGAAAATACTGGGATGGACAATAATAGTAATTAATGATGATAGTGGTAGCCAGTGTCTATGAGGCACTTCCTTTGATCTCAGTTGAGGACTCTAGATGGGGTTGCTCCTTTATTCATCATAAGCACCCAAAGAGGTGGTGGTTTCTGCAATCCCCATATCGTCCCAAAGAAACTAAGGTGAGGAAGGGCTTTGTCCAAAGTCACATAGTCACCAAGTGGTGGAATCAAGTCTCAGGACTACGCAGTCTGACCTGGCTCTCTAACCAAGCTGCTGGCCATGTGAGGATATAGTACTCACATGTTGCCATCCCTTGCTCAGCTAGTGGGAGAGTGTGGTGAGGCTACCACTTTCTCCTTTGGGTTTTCTCTGACCCCCAGCTAATTTTTCTGCTTTTTGAGCTTTAATATTTCCCTATTAAGGGAATACAGTCTTATCCTTGGCTGACGGTGGAATAGAAAGTTGCATGGTTCTTTCTAGCAGACCACTCAGCTCTGAGGTTGACTTTTACTTTATTTGGCAATTTCTGTTTTTCTCTGGGAAAAACACAGAAGGTGTGGCTGAGGGAATGAATGAAATCTCCACCTTTGCTTTGGATTTTGAGGAGCTCTAGGGATGGTAGGGCTCTGTTTTGTTTTTTGTTTTTTTTTTTCCTAGTGAGTATTGCAAGTTGCTGGTATTGTGAAAGTGACACTCTCTCACTGAATGCTCAAAGTAGCCTGTAAGTTGGGGATTGTGGATTACCATTTTGATGGCATAAGAGCTTAGGCTGAGATGACAGTTAAAGATGCTGGAGGCCCCAGGTTGCTAAGCAACAGATGGCCAGTTCACTCTCAGGCAAAGATTCAAGCTATGACACTGTTCACAGGTAGTGCTCTGTAGTTGTTCTTTCACTCATTCACTAGCTCCCAAGCTCTAAATTCTAGTATCCAGAGTCAGGGGAAATGTCGCTTAATAGTAGGTGGAGGTTGGTGCCAATGGCCTGCACAGGGAGGGTAATCCTGCAGCTGTAACAGAATTTGGAATATAGAACAAAATAAGAAAAGACGGTGGAGAGGGTATATACAGGCTGAGATGAGCTGCTAGGAATCATATTGTGATAGGAAAAGTAGGGCCGCAAGAAGGTAGGTACTATGGTTGGTACTGTCCCACCCCAAAGCCAGGGCTCTCCAGACACAGTCCTTTTGGTCTGCATACTCTTGGGCATAGAATAAAAAAGGCTCCAGTGGTTAGGGTTTCCCTCTAACTTTTATTGCACACACAATGTAACCCCCTCCCCACTGCACAGTGTAGAAAGTTCTGCTAAACTTGGGGTGGCTAGAAGGGGTATGCTTAGAATTTTATCACTTTCACCTACCCCTGG